CCATAGCTAAAAAGGAAAAAAAATGACCAACAACAGTACACAAAACACAACATAGAAAACTAAAGACTGAGCAACACAAACCCAACCAAAAACTAAGGGTGATATCAGGTGCTCGTGAAAGTAAACAGATTAAATAATGCATTAATGTATTTCAAACTGTTATGCTACAGGGTTTGTACTGGGGCTATTATACTAACTATACTTTTAGTATAATAGTCCAAGGCTAGTTTACACAGAGATGGGACATACTGTATTTATTGATTTAGTATACTATTCACATCACAGAGTATGAACTCAACAACTGCAATCACAATAAGATTAACGAATGAATTTGAAAGGATGTCTACATTTGCAGCAAATTTCACAATTTTACCGTGATTTTATATTTTCCGCGATTCCATATTCTATTCAGAGTAGCAATAGATAGATAATAATAATAATAATGATAATATTTTTTTCATTTAAAGAGGGCAAACACAGTTAGTTACAACAAACTAATCTTCTCCGAGGCCCTCACATACAAATTACAATACAATCAAAAACAGATATTCACACATAGTTAATTTACAGTCAAATAGTTCAATGTTTTATTATAAACATGATAAGAGATAAAACTGTTCAAGAGGTGCATTTATTATAAAAAATATAAAAAAAAAAAATCAAAAATATACAAATCAAACTTGATGATAATACATTGTAGAAAACATAATCTTATCAAGACTGTGTCAAGTACTTCTTGATACTTTGTTTAAAAGTAAAATTGTTTTGGGCTTTACGCATTTTGTGTGGTAGTCCATTCTATATCACTGATCCAGAATAAACAAAATATTTTTTAAACAGCTCAGCTTTTAGCTTAGGGACGATCAGATTACCCTGAGTAACAACTCTCAAGGAGTAAGGATTATTATATGATTTCATTTTAAACTTTTGAACTAGGCACATTGGTGCTTCCATACGCGCACATTTATATTGAAGTAAATATTTGTTGTATTTAATTCTATTTTCAATTGTTATCCACCAAATTGCTTTAAATAAGGGGCCGCGAGTGAAGATAATAAAGGATCTGTATCTAAAATTAATCTCGCTGCCCTTGTTTGCAGTTTTAGATTCCATACTCTGTGCTGGGAATAGTATACAAAGTCAATATATATTATGTCCCGATAGACAATCAGTTCCTCCTTAATTGTAGTCCTAATCTTGACCTGATCTTGCTCTTTCTTCTTATATTAACGCACTTTTCACTGTAGATAGATGCTCAAGTCAGACAAGCTTTTCAAAAGGTAATGACCAATGATATTGAATCTCATTTCAGAGAAGTTCAGTCAGGAGTTCCACAGGGTTCCATACTAGGACCTTTACTTTTTATAATATTTATCAATGATTTATCTCTTATGATTGAAAATGTTTCTTCTGAACTTTATGCTGATGATACATATAGATTACAACATGGCATTTTTCATATCAGACCCCTTATCAGCCCGAGAGCCGACAGGCTCGAGGGATGATTTTGACCATGGGCTGATAAGGGGTCTGATATGAAAAATGACATGTTATGTTCTTTTTATCATATACTTCAGCAAAAGCCATAAAGACATGAAAACTTTTTAAAACTTTATAAAATTCATTTATTGTATTATTTGTTTTGCGTTTTTTAATAATATATTTTCCTGTTTCCTAATATTCCTCAGTCTGTTATTCTACTTGGCTATCTTTTTCACTTAAATGTACCACTGAGGTTTATTTTCCGGAATTTGCAGAATGACGTCGAAATGCTAAATGCGATAACGTTAAAGAAAGGCAAGGCATGCGATAATAACCGGAAGCAGTCGATATAAACCGGAAACAGTTGATATATACAATTGATAACAAAAGTCAAATCACACGGCTAAGACAATTCTTCAAATTTATCGAATAGATATATGTATAAATTAGTTTTATCAAGGGTACAATATACCATTATTTTCTACAAGTATATGATAAAACATAATATAAGTCATCTCCATCAGTAACAGATTTAAATGCATTTATGAATGTAGATTTTTGTAATGATCTGTAATGTTACGAATTGGTGTAATGATAATGATATGATATTGAATAGAGATAAGACTAAGGTCATGTTAATTCGTTCTAATAGACAAAATGTTTTTGAAACAGAATTAAGTATCAAATTTGATGATGAACGCATAATAGACGTCGTTCATAATCAAGAACTGCTAGGAATCCATATTGACAAATCTCTTTCGTGGGAAAATCAAATTGACAAACTTTGTGCAGTAATTGTAAGCAGACTGCATCTTATGGGCCGATTAAAAGCATATCTTCCAGTAAGTGTTCTCAATCTATATTATAATGGATATATACTTTCAATTTTGGACTACTGCTGTACCGTATGTCCGGAAATGCTTCAAAAAACTAATATTTACAAATTATACAAGTTACAAAAGAAGGCAGCAAGAATGATTTTAAATGCAGGTTTTGATATCTATTCATCAGTTATGTTTAAAAGTTAGGATGGCATATCATTTATAATAGAATTAAATATTTTATGATAGTGATGGTTTATAAGTGTATGAATAATTTAGCACCTGCATATTCAAGTTTATCTGAACTATTTTGAAGTTGTCACTCAGTTGTTAATAAATACGCATTAAGATCATCTTCCCAAAATAATGTATTTGTTCAACGATGTGAAACTAATAATGGTAAAAGAACATTTGTGTGTTCTGGAACCTTGTTGTGGAATTCCTTGCCGTTGACTTTGTATTCGACACTGTATGGAGAAGTGGCTTGTGGAAAAAACTACAGAACAGTGGTATAAAAGGGAAAATTTTTACTGTTATTTTAATATGTATAATAATATTAAATCATGTGTTAAATATACAACAACCAACAGTCAGAATATTTTCCCTGTCTTACTGGTGTTAGACAGGGTGAAAATCTATCTCCCTTTCTCTTTTCCATTTTTTTAAATGACATAGAACAGTTCTTTAGTGATTTAGGCGGATGTCCCCTTGAGATAGTTAAAGAAAAATGTCAAAATGAGTTAAATTCAATTATGAAACTGTTCGCCATACTGTACGCTGATGATACCGTCATTTTTACGGATTCAGCAGAAAGTATTCAAAATGCACTAAATATTTTTCAGAATTACTGTGAATTATGGAAACTGGAAGTAAATGTTACAAAAACAAAAAGTATGGTATTTAGCAAAGGCAAAGTGCGACGAAAATTTGAATTTAAATTACAGGGCAAAAATATAGAAATAGTCGATACATTCTCATATATTGGGCTCATATTCAAATGTAATGGTACTTTTACAGAAGCGAAGAAAAAATTGGTTAATCAAGCACAAAAAGCATTATACAGCTTGTATAAAAGTATTAGAAATCAAGTCATCCCATTAGTTTTACAGCTTGAAAATTTTAGAACAAATTCACTTAAATTTTTGTAAACGTATTTTAAGAGTAAGATCTTCAACGCCTAACTATATGGTATATGGAGAATTAGGCAGATTTCCATTAGAAATAAAAGTTAAAATAAGAATGACATCATTTTGGAGAAGTATAATGCATGGTGAAAAATTAAGTAGTAATATGTTTAGATTATTAATAAGTTTGAAGCAAAATAGCGGTCAGTCATTCAAATGGCTGAATTTTATAGAATCAATATTTAATGATACAGGACTAGGATATGTGTTTGTCAATCAAGATAGTACTGACTACAAACATCTGATAAAACAGGTTTTACAAGACCAGTATATACAAAAATGGCATCAAGATGTTCAATTATCTACCCGAGGTGTATTTTACACTAGTTATAAAAATTATTTTGGTTTTGAAAATTATTTAATAAAAATCCCGGCAAAATGCAAGAATCTGGATGACAAAATTAAGAACGTCTAATTTAAAAATTCCAATTGAAACTGGGCGTTGGTATAATATTCCGGCGGAGGACCGAAAATGTCACATATGTAAAGAAAATGTAGGAGAAGAATTTCACTATCTTTTTATATGCAAGTCTCACCAACTGGTTATTTTTAGAGAAAAACATATCCCTAGTATTATACGAAGCATCCAAGCAAACAGAAATTATCTGTTATGTTATCTTATTGCAATGTTAATTTATATAGACAGGTGTCATCTTTTATTAGAAAGCCAAATAACTTATTGTGATATATAGATATAGGAAGATGTGGTATGAGTGCCAATGAGACAACTCTCCATCCAAGTTTCAATTTATAAAAGAAAACCATTATAGGTCAAGGTACGGCCTTCAACACGGAGCATTGGCTCACACCGAACAGCAAGCTATAAAGGGCCCCAAAAAATTACTAGTGTAAAACCATTCAAACGGAAAAACCAACGGTCTAATCTATATATATATATATTGATTTGTATGAATTTTTATTTGTTTTTGTTTTTGAATGTTACCATTGTATTATAAATCATGTTTTTTATTGTATATTTACCTCATGTTACACATTTATGTGTCTGAGCGTTGCTTTTACAATAAATCTTAAATCTTAAAGACTTCAAGTGAAAGAAAGTAAAAAGTATAAATGTTTTTAAAACAAAATGTCAAGCTTATCTCTTGAAAATACAAGAATAGAATTTTTCGCAGTTTTAATGTAACAGTTTTACTACAAGTATACTTTTTTATTTAAGTAAATTGTAATTGTTTACCTGTACCTTATATGTGCTCTTGTATGCAGTGTTAGTTATGTTTTTGCCGTTTATTACCCTTTTGTTTAACTTTATGTATTGATCTGTATTACTATCTTTTAAAAATTGTGTATTCTTGTATGTAGATTAGAAGGCCACGGGGCGGATTAACTGTTTTGTTAACTATGTAACCTTCTGAAAATAAAGAATTTATTATTATTATTTTGAAAGGCTATTTCTTGTCTCTTAGTGTATAGTTTCAACACGAGTTACCTCTCTTCAACTTTTATTCGTGTCGTTAATATTTCTTCGTTGTTTCGTAAAATATATGTACCGAAATGAGAACCCACAATGCAACAAAACTGAACCATTTCCACTTTGCTGGAGAAATTTAAATGTTTACAAACTTGTGTTTATGGCTTGATTTTAATATTTGTGTCTATTGTACAGGTTAATTGTGCAACTATCAGATAACGGTAAGGTTTATATAATTTACAAAAACAATGTGACTAAGGCGGAGACGAAGTACCTGTCAAAAATGACATAATTTCACCGGGTTTCAGTTTGTGGCCAAAATTGTAAATTATTTTCAGGTCTTAGACCGCTACAAGATTCGACACATGCTGTCATTTAAATCATATTTGGCGTTACTATCACTCAAATTGATACTAAATTAAATAACACACATGCGTTTATGAATGAATACACACCATAATCTTATTTTTATAATATTAAGTGTAATTTTTTGACACACCCTTTTCATTTAATCCCTTTTACTGAAACATCTTAGTGTACAGCAGTTGCAAGCATGATGTGGACGTTTTAAAACTAACCAATTGACAACTATACATAGCATAACAGCTAATACAGGTTGGGGAAGATCCTCATGAAACTACCCATTTGTGGGGGTCTCACTTATTAGCAACAGCCAGCGTTAAGTCTTAAGAAGACTAAATAAGCATGATAAGCGACAATAAGACTAATTTAGTTACATGATCCAAATTTAGCAGCAAGAAATCTTACTATTAATTATTTGAAATAAATAAATTTAGAAACGTGTTTTTAAGTTGCATTAAATTCAAAAGAGAAACATACTACAAATTACATTGCAATACACTCAGAACTGTATCAACCAGTAAATAGCTAGGAGTAAATTTCAGTGAGGACTTACAATGGAAAAATCATGATGACATCACTGCCAAAAATCCAAATTCATCTGATTTCTTAGATGAAACCTAAGAGAGTGCAGGAAAAATATAAGAAATGCAGCTTTTATATCTCTGGTACATGTAAGTGTATGTCTAAATATACATGTCGTAAATGCAACAGAAAACATCACACTAGCTTATGTTATAACAAACAACACACAGAGAACCAAACAACAAGACAAACCAGCACAGCCGTAAATGCTATGAATGATGAAGTAGAAACATGTTGAAAACAGCTGTATCACAAGTTTTAGTAGGTAATAATTCCACTGTAACAAATATTCTTTTAGACTAAGGCTCACAACAATCTTTTATTATCACGGATGATCTAGCAAAACAGTTACAATTAAAACCCTGTGGAATGAGTACACTCAGTCTTGCTGCCTTTGGAGAAACTAATCGTAATGTAAGAAACCTAGAAAAAGCTGTTGTTCATTTGAAGACTATACATGAAGGTAAATTATCAATGGAAGTACTCATAGTACCAACAATCGCCGCACCGCTATCAAATCGTACCCATTACGAAGCGTTAAAGTTGCCATATTTACAAGGTATACAATTAGCCCATCCTGTAAGTGAGGAGAAACATTTTGAAATATCTATGATGATTGGAGCAGATTACTACTGGGACATCGTCAAAAACGAGATACTACGAGGAATGGGTCCTACTGCTGTAAAGTCAAAACTGGGATATTTATTGTCTGGACCAATGCCAACAATAGAAAAATCAACAGCACCAGCTGCTACGTTTAATGTATTAGTAAAACACATGAAGGAAGGGGAAGATCTGGAGCAATTTTGGAAGTAGGAGTCTATGGGAGTCGAGCCTGCTGCATCTACAGAAAAGGACGAACACTACTACAAGACATACGAGTCAACTATAGCATATCACGACAATTACTATATATCAAAATTTCCATGTAAAGAGAATTTGCCTGATCTACCTAGGAACTATAACGTAACTAAGAACAGAACATCGAGAATTATCAGTAGACTGAGCAGGGAACCAGAAATACAGAAATTATGTAGTAACCGATCAAGGAAAAAACGGATTTACTAATCGTCCGATTGATCAAATATACTCATTGACTTGAAGTTTCTAATGAACATGTGCAAATCGTAAAGGCTACCAAATTTCGTCGATCAAAGGAAGACAAATGGACATTGTAATTTCATGTTTGTGATTTAGTGACTGTTCAGTAAATTTAATTTCTTTATATATGAACTTTAAAGAAGTTATTTGTTTTACTACATGGACTTTAAAGTGATTTAAATTTAATGCGAATGTTTGAAATTTCGATTTTATTTAAGCTTTTCTTTTTCACTTTCCTGCGGCCGGAGTATTACGAATTAACCGCAATACAGAGACACTTACTTATACAACTCTAATTGTTAACGTAACGTATTGTAACGTCATATTATTATTACGCTTTTGTATTCATAATGTCTCCAGTCAGTATAGTAAACAGAGTTTGAAATATACACACGTCTTTCTATAATTCACAAAAGCGAAGTACTACCACTAAACCCAAACAATGCTTTCACCAACTTGCAAGAAATTTTGGTTTATTGTTTATATCTATTGACATGTGCTCCCTTTTGATTTTTATAAATTTTAGACTTTACATTTCCAAGTTACAGGGTTTTATTCATAAAAAAAGGGGGATTTTCCAGTTTTCGGACAATAACTCAAAAATGCTTTCAACAGTTCTCATGAAACTTTGATGAATTGTTGATATCTATTGATGTAAGCTCCCTTTAGAATTTTATAAATTTTAGATTTTACATTTCCGAGTTATGGGGTTTTATTCATTAAAAAGGGGGGATTTTCTAGTTTTCAGACAATAACTCAAAAATGCTTTCAGCTATTCTTATGAAACTTTGGTGAATTGTTTATATCTATTGATGTAAGCTCCCTTTAGAATTTTATAAATTTTATTTGTTTATAGTCTCAACTCTGACAACAGATCTACATTGTCCTAAGTATTGCGCAACAGCATAGTGTATTGTACAACAGCAAGAAATCTTTAATTGAATATACATGTAAATTCAATTCATATAACCAATTTCAAGTTTTTTTACTACATTTATTCAGAAACCTATAATATGTCAAATATTTAACTACAATCCAAATTCAGACCTGTATCAAGCTTGAATATTGTGGCCATTTTTGCCCCAATTGTTCAGGGTTGGACCTCTGCAGGCGTATTCATCTGCACTCAGCGAAGCAGTTTATTTGTAATGTTAATTTCTCTCTTATTATGAGTAATAGGATAGCTATATTTGGTATGTGTGTACCTTGCAAGGTCCTCATGCCTGTCAAACAGTTTTCATTTGACCTCGACCTGATTCCATGGATCAGTGAACAAGGTGAGCTTTTTGTAGTCAGGTTCGTATCTCAGATACTATAACCTTTAGGTCAACTATACTTGGTGTATGGAATGATTGTATGGTGTACATGTCCGACTGGCAGGTTTCATCTGACCTTGACCGGGCTAACAATCTGCTCTATCACCCTCGCAGCTACATGTACATTGTATGTGTTATTTATATAGTGATACTTTTAGCAAAACCTTCATATTACAGACTAATGATAAGTAAAACAGGCGAGACATTTCAGTGTGTGCACTCTTTGTTTTAGAATATTGTACCACAATGACACCATGTTTGGCCAACTGAATGATGACACATTGTGAATGCATCATTATCTTTATGTTAGAATGATTTTTGTCTCGCCTGCGACAGAGAGACATAGGGATTGCTTTTCTGGTGACAGTGACAATTGTTAAGTTTTCTGCTAAAGTTATTTTGATAGGAACTAACTATGATAGATCATTGATATTTTGTATGAAGATGCATTACTATCAATACATACATGTATCAGTTTGAAGACAATTTTGAGGACCTTCCCCCTAGGCCATGGTCCAGTGACTTTAGATTAATTAGCAATTTTAAATGTTTTAAGTTTTCTGCTTAAGTTAGATTGATAGGAACTACTTGTGATAGATCAATGATATTTTGTATGAAATTGCATTACTATCAGTACATATCAGTTTTATGACTATTGTGAGGCCCTGCCCTCTAGGCCATGGTCCAGTGACTGAATTAATTAGCCATTTTCAATGATAAGTTTTCTGCTTAAGTTAGTTTGATATGAACTACATGTGATAGATCAATGATATTTTCTATAAAGTTCAATGCATTACTATCAATACATATCACTATTATTATCAGTTTGACGACTACTTTAAGGCCCTGCCCACTAGGTCATGGTCCAGTGACTTTCAATCAATTAACAATTTTCAATGTTAAGTTTTATGATTAAGTTAGTTTGATATGAACTACTTACAATAGACAATATTTTCTATAAAGTTACATTGCTGTCTGTACATCTCAGTTTGTCAACCATTTTGAGGCCCTACCCACTAGTTGGTCCAGCGACTTTGAATTAGTTAGCAATGTTGCTGTCCATCTGATGATCAGATTGTCTTTTTCTGAATTTTATGCCAATAGCCGAGACATATCTCTGTGTCAACAGTTTATTTTTTAAGAATTAGCAACTTAAAAGAGTGAGAGGAGTTTTTAGAAGCACAAAAACCAACAAATACTTGTTGAAATACATGTGCACTTTATAATATAATCTATATTCCTGTTGTATACAATCTGATTAGAATACAGATTATGTGTTCAAGCTTTAATTTTGCTTTCAGAGATCTGAAAAACTCCATTCTACTTTCTGTTAACTTTAGTCAGATTTAATATATATACACCTTAAAAATTTGAAGGCTGACATTTCATTGTCTGATGTACCGGTAATAATTACCAGAACAGAAAGTAAAACAATCCTTGAAAGTAAAGCTAGAACACAGGATATGTATTGTAATCTGCTATACAGTACACACACATTTATTCCTTGTTACTAAACAGCTGTGGGGGACATTTCCCTATAGCATTATCTGCATTGCAATTTTAAATATGTTAAATGGATGAAAAATTTTACTTGAACTAACCTTTAGCACTTAACCAAATGAGATTTGTATTTCATTACATTGAAACATCCTATTTATTCCTAAGAATATTCAATATCTGCCTCTTTACATTATCATGGCATGCAAATATGACAAATAATAGTGGAACTGATTAAATTGACATGGTAAAATTATGAAAAATCCTAAAACCAACAGTTAAAGATCGAAGATAGCAGGGCAAGAATGAAGTGTATTAAATGTTAAATAATTTCTGTTATTATACCTTACATATATTTCAAACAATTCTATTGGGTAAAACGTTATCACGTGACATGGAATAATTCAGTTAATTTTCATTCAATTGCAAGGAAGAACGAATAACCCTAAAAATTTACACCAGCGTTGAATAACCCTATTATTCACCGGCGAATAACCTTTTTAGTTTGTTGATTTGTACTCATGAAAATGACGTCACAGACGTAAATAAACAAAATGGCAACGTTCAAGTTACAGGAAGCCCATTAATTGAGAGAACAGGAAATAAGGCTTTTGACGTGCATCTTGTGCCGATGATATCTCTAATAACGGTCCTTTTCAGGGCCATCAATATTTTACAAAAAGAATCTACCTTTGTTGTACATACAAGAATTCTAAGACACATATTACATGTATTTTTGAACGTCAACTTGTGTTTGTTACTGACTCAAGTAAGGGTAAGTGCTTTTACAATGATTCAAAATGCCCTTCCACTGTTAGTTCGGTATAATAAAACAATTGTGGCCCCTTAGAAGCGATGAATATCCAAAATTGTCAACCCTTAAAAGTTATTTCACTTCGGGCTGCGCCCTCAGTGAAATAACCTTCTCGTGTTGACAATTTTGGATATTCACCTTTTCAACGGGCCATAATTGTATATTATTCAGCAAGGTTCTCCCTGAAAATCATGAAAATTTTAGATTTATGACATTAATAAATATTAACTTAAAAATCATCATTTTTAAGTTCATATCTTCCATGTTTGTATTAGCTGATACCTGTATTGATTTTGATGTTGTCTAAAAATAGAAGATATGTCATTATATGAGTAATCAAGTAATTTTTAATTCCTTTGCATGCCTATTAATAGGACCTAAACAGAAAATAATTGTTTACACTTTATTTACCATGTGTAGCTGTATATTCTTGGGAAATAAGAAAAAAGACATCATGTCAAAGGCAAAGGCTCAGCAGCCAGCAGTTATACATAAAGTGATAATGGTTGGCAGTGGAGGGGTAGGAAAATCAGCATTAACATTACAGTTTATGTATGATGAGGTAAGTCAATACTGTTGTCTGATCATTTTTTTTGGATTGATTGTTCCTGAGATTGTTCATGACAAAGTTTTTAAAAAATTTCAGAAATTTGTATGCAAAAAGTTTTATTGATATATTGATTGATAACTATAAGCATTTTTACAGTAAATTACAAAAATGTAGATGTCGTCACCCGAAGACACATTGGTTTTCGCACTATAACTTAAGTTTAAGTTAATGGATCTCTATGAAATTTTACCATAAGGTTCAATACCACAAAAGGAAGGTTGGGATTGATTTTGGGGGTTATGGTACCAACAGTTAAGGAATTAGGGGTCAAAAATAAGCATTTTTTGTAACTTCCAGACATAACTTGTGTGTTAGTGTATGGATCTCTCTGACATTGTACCACAAGGTTCCATATCACAAAGGGAATGCTGGGATTGATTTTGGGGGTTATTGCCTCAAAATTTTAGGAATTAGGGGCCAAAAAAGGGGCAAAAAACAAGCATTTTTCTAGTTTCATGACAATAACTTGTGTGTAAGTGTATGGATCTTTCTGAAATTGAAGTACAAGGTTCCATATCACAAAGGGAAAGCTGGAATTGAGTTTGGGGGTAATTGCCCAAAACATTTAGGAATAAGGGGCCAAAAATAAGCATTTTTCTAGTTTCCAGAGAATAACTTGTGTTCAAGTTAAGGATCTCTCTGAAATTGTACTGCAAGGTACCATACCACAAAGGGAAGGCTGGGATTAATTTTGGGGGTAATTGCCTCAAAATTTGAGGAATAAGGGGCCAAAAAGGGGCAAAAAACAAGCATTTTTCTAGTTTCAGGACAATAACTTGTGTGTAAGTGTATGGATCTTTATGAAATTGTACCACAAGGTTCCATATCACAAAGGGAAAGCTGGGTTTGAGATTGGGGGTAATTGCCCTAAACGTTTAGGAATTTGAGGCCAAAAAACAAGCATTTTTCTAGTTTCCAGACAATTACTTGTGTTCAAGTGTATGGATCTCTCTGAAATTGTACTGCAAGGTACCAAACCACAAAGGGAAGGCTGGGATTTAGTCTGGGGGTGATGAATCATAAGGGGGTTCAAAATATTGGGGGGGGGGATTTTTTTTTCCCTTTTCCTTTTTTTTCTTTAAAATTTTCCATTTTAAATTGGTTATTTCTGATTTAAATATAAAAGCAAATGATAATGATATATATGGTTTGAATAGGTTAATTAAAAAATTTAAAGTTCTTAGACCACATTCATTCTGTGTCAGAAACCTATGCTGTGTCAAATATTTAATCACAATCCAAATTCAGTGCTGTATCAAGCTTGAAAGTTGTGTCCATATTTGCCCCAACTGTTCAGGGTTCGACATCTGCGGTCGTATCAAGCTGTGCCCAGCGCAGCATTTTATTGTTTATGGACACATCATTTGAACTGTAAATATGTATTTATCATAGGAAAAGGTATGATAGGCCACTTTTTTGCCCCTTAAATTTGAAAATAAAAAAAAAAGTATTATAAATCTATTAAATAACATCCTTCATTGTCCTTCAGATACAATTCATACGACTTATTCTGTCGAATATCAGTATTCATTTTATTGAATTTTGTCTCACGGCCACACAATGGCATCAGTGCATCAAACTTCATACATTTGCAAAAACTACCAAAATAGCCTCATTTAGAGATTTTGTCATTAGTATTAAGATATGACCAACAGCTTTACCCAAAGATATTTTGCTGCGAAATGTATTTTACAAAGATGTTAAGTAGTGTAAAATATCTTTTTGCGTAATCGTTGCATACAAAAACTACAGGTACATTGTATGCTTGAAAAAAACATTTTAATTTTGTATGTCAAATTCAAGGTACGATACCTTGAATTTGACATGTTTATGATGTCATTTTGATATCACAACTGACCTTTGTGAATTAATGTTACCAGATTATATTGACCTGTTCTTTTATGCTAAAATAAGTTTACTATTTTTATACGACTGCAAAATTTATATTGGTATCACGTTGGCATCAGCGTCGTCCAAAGACATTTGGTTTCTGGACAATAACTTTAGTTTAAGTGTATGGATCTCTATGAAATTTAAACAAATGGTTCAATACCACAAAAGGAAGGTCGGGAATGTGTTTGGGGGTGATGGTCCCAACCGTTTAGGAATTAGGGGCCAAAAGGGGTCTAAAACAAGCATTTTTCTAGTTTTCAAACAATAACTTGTGTTTAGGTGTATTGATGTCTCTTAATTTGTACCACATTTTAAAAAAAGAAATTTCTTCAAAATTAATTTTTTTGGAAGGGGGGGGGGGGGCAATTTTTTGTCCTCAAAAGAAAATTCTCTTCATATGTTATTTTTTTTGGAGAGGGGTAAAAAAAATTTGGGGGGGATAAAAAAAAAAAAATTTTGGAGGGGGGGGGGGCAATTTTTTTTCCCTCAAGATTTAAGAATTTGTCAGTTTTCTAAAGAAAAAAATTGGGGGTCACAATTTATTTTGCTAATTCTTTGTATATAGTCTGAAAACAGATTTACTAAGTATTGCGCAACAGCACAGTGTATTGCACAACAGCAAGAAATCTTCAATTGAATATAAATTCAAATCATACAACCAATTTCAAGTTCTTTGACACATTTATTCTGTGTCAGAAACCTATAATGTGTCAAATATTTAATTACATTCCAAATTCAGACCTGTATCAAGCTTGAATATTGTGTCCATGTTTGCCCCAACTGTTCAGGGTTGGACCTCTGCGGTCGTATCCAGCTGTGCTCGGCGAAGCAGTTTATTGCAATTTCAGGAGCCAAATAATGGCTCTTATCATACCTCCTCCTTTGGTTTAAAAATGTCCCATGGTGTGATGAATCCCCTGTTAATTTTAAGGTCAATGGTCAAGGTCACTGCAGTAATTGATAGATCGAAATTGGGCAAAATTTTGGTTTCTCTGACTTATGAACTATGTATATGTTCAACCTTCGCCAAACTTTGCTTAGAAATGCCTCCAGAAAAGAACAAGAGCCCTTTGGTATTTGGGTCAGTAGGTCAAAGGTCAACATCACCAATTCTATGAATAGACTGAAATGTTGGAAAAGTTTACATTCTGGGCAACATCTTTTGAGTTATAAATAAGATCTTTACCAATCTTTTGTGGATAAATGTGCCTTGGGATGAAAAAGAACCTTAATAATTTTAAGGTCATGTGGTAAAAAAATTGTTTACAGCAGGATAAAATTGGTTTTTCATCATTTGACATAAATTTTCAGTAAATTGTTAATTTTCCCAAAAGATAAGATCTATAAATATAATTATTTGGATTTTGCACCCATGATGCTTTTATTATTGGTCAATTGTATATTTTCCATTTAGTTTGTAGAGGATTATGAACCAACAAAAGCTGATTCCTACAGGAAGAAAGTTGTATTAGATGGTGAGGAAGTTCAGATAGACATTTTAGATACTGCTGGACAAGAGGATTATGCTGCAATCCGGGACAATTATTTTCGTAGTGGTGAAGGATTTTTATGTGTATTTTCTATAACAGAACAAGAATCCTTTCAAGCTACAGCTGAATTTAGGTTGGTATCATATAACATTTCCTTTGAATTCATTCAATATCTTACAAGTCTTGATCTGATTTAAGTTTTGACGTAGTTGAAGAATTTTTCAAAGAAGCTAATAATAGTTTACAATGATAATGTTCACTATTACTTTTGTACCTTTTTATACGGCCGCAAAAAATTTTGCGGTTGTATATTGGTATGACGTTGGCGTCGTCGTTGTCGTCCGAAGACACATTGGTTTTCGCACTCTAACTTTAGTTTTTAAAAGTGAATGGATCTCTTTGAAATTTTACCATAAGGTTCAATAACACAAAAGGAAGGTTGGGATTGATTTTGGGTGTTATGGTACCAACAGTTAAGGAAAAAGGGGCCAAAAATAAGCATTTTTGTAACTTCCAGTCATAACTTGTGTGTTAGGATATGGATCTCTCTGACATTGTACCACAAGGTTCCATATCACAAAGGGAATGCTGGGATTGATTTTTGGGGGTAATTACCTCAAAATTTTTAGGGATTAGGGGCATAAAAGGGGGCAAAAAACAAGCATTTTTCTAGTTTCATGACAATAACTTGTGTGTAAGTCTATGGATCTTTCTGAAATTGTACCAAAGGTTCCATATCACAAAGGGAAAGCTGGAATTGAGTTTGGGGGTAATTGGCCAAAACGTTTAGGAAAAAGGGGCCAAAAATAAGCATTTTTGTAACTTCCAGTCATAACTTGTGTGTTAGGATATGGATCTCTCTGACATTGTACCACAAGGTTCCATATCACAAAGGGAATGCTGGGATTGATTTTTGGGGGTAATTACCTCAAAATTTTTAGGAATTAGGGGCATAAAAAGGGGCAAAAAACAAGCATTTTTCTAGTTTCATGACAATAACTTGTGTGTAAGTCTATGGATCTTTCTGAAATTGTACTACAAGGTTCCATATCACAAAGGGAAAGCTGGAATTGAGTTTGGGGGTAATTGCCCAAAACGTTTAGGAAAAAGGGGCCAAAAATAAGCATTTTTCTAGTTTCCAGAAAATAACTTGTGTTCAAGTGTATGGATCTCTCTGAAATTGTACTGCAAGACACCATACCACAAAGGGAAGGCTGGGATTGATTTTGGGGGTAATTGCCCCAAAATTTTAGGAATAAGGGGCCAAAAAGAGGCCAAAAAGAAGCATTTTTCTAGTTTCAGGACAATAACTTGTGTGTAAGTGTATGGATCTTTATGAAATTTTACTACAAGGTTCCATATCACAAAAGGAAAGCTGGGTTTGAGTTTGGGCGTAATTGCCCTAAACGTTTAGGAATTTGGAGCCAAAAAGGGGCCAAAAAACAAGCCTTTTTCTAGTTTCCAGACAATAACTTGTGTTCAAGTGTATGGACCTCTCTGAAATTGTACTGCAAGGTACCATACCACAAAGGGAAGGCTGGTATCATTTTGGGGATAATTGCCTCAAAATTTGAGGAATTAGGGACCAAAAAGGGGCAAAAAACAAGCATTTTTAGCTCACCTGGCCCGAAGGGCCAAGTGAGCTTTTCTCATCACTTGGCGTCCGTCGTCGGCGTTAACTTTTTACATTTTGAACTTCTTCTAGAGATCCGCTGAATGGAATGAAACCAAACATGGCATGAATGTTCCTTATGAGGTGCTGACCAAGTGTTGTTACTTTGTAGCCGATCCATCATCCAAGATGGCCGCCAGCGGGGGACTTAGTTTAACATAGGACCCTATGGGAAATGCATACAAATGACTTCTTTTAGAGAACCACTGAATGGAATGAAACCAAACATGGCATGAATGTTCCTTATGAGGTGCTGACCAAGTGTTGTTACTTTGTAGCGGATCCATCATCAAAGATGGCCGCCAGCGGTGGACTTAGTTTAACATTGGACCCTATGGGAAATACATACAAATGTCTTCTTTTAGAGAACCACTGAATGGAATGAAACCAAACATGGCATGAATGTTTCTTATGAGGTGCTGACCGAGTTTTGTTACTTTGAAGCCGATCCATCATCCAAGATGGACGCCAGCGGGGGACTTAGTTTAACATAGGACCCTATGGGAAATACATACAAATGTCTTCTTTTAGAGAACCACTGAATGGAATGAAACCAAACATGGCATGAATGTTCCTTATGAGGTGCTGACCAAGTGTTGTTACTTTGTAGCGGATCCATCATCCAAGATGGCCGCCAGCTGTGGACTTAGTTTAACATAGGACCCTATGGGAAATACATACAAATGCCTTCTTTTAGAGAACCACTGAATGGAATGAAACCAAACATGGCATGAATGTTTCTTATGAGGTGCTGACCGAGTGTTGTTACTTTGAAGCCAATCCATAATCCAAGATGGCCGCCAGCGGGGGACTTAGTTTAACATGGGACCCTATGGGAAATACATACAAAGGTCTTCTTTTAGAGAACCACTGAATGGAATGAAACCAAACATGGTATGAATGTTCCTTATGAGGTGCTGACCGAGTGTTGTTACTTTGAAGCCAATCCATAATCCAAGATGGCTGCCAGCGGGGGACTTAGTTTAACATGGGACCCTATGGGAAATACATACAAATGTCTTCTTTTAGAGAACCACTGAATGGAATGAAACTAAACATGGTATGAATGTTCCTTATGAGGTGCTGACCGAGTGTTGTTACTTTGAAGCCAATCCATAATCCAAGATGGCTGCCAGCGGGGGACTTAGTTTAACATAGGACCCTATGGGAAATGCATACAAATGACTTCTTTTAGAGAACCACTGAATGGAATGAAACCAAACATGGCATGAATGTTCCTTATGAGGTGCTGACCAAGTGTTGTTACTTTGTAGCGGATCCATCATCAAAGATGGCCGCCAGCGGTGGACTTAGTTTAACATTGGACCCTATGGGAAATACATACAAATGTCTTCTTTTAGAGAACCACTGAATGGAATGAAACCAAACATGGCATGAATGTTTCTTATGAGGTGCTGACCGAGTTTTGTTACTTTGAAGCCGATCCATCATCCAAGATGGACGCCAGCGGGGGACTTAGTTTAACATAGGACCCTATGGGAAATACATACAAATGTCTTCTTTTAGAGAACCACTGAATGGAATGAAACCAAACATGGCATGAATGTTCCTTATGAGGTGCTGACCAAGTGTTGTTACTTTGTAGCGGATCCATCATCCAAGATGGCCGCCAGCTGTGGACTTAGTTTAATATAGGACCCTATGGGAAATACATACAAATGCCTTCTTTTAGAGAACCACTGAATGGAATGAAACCAAACATGGCATGAATGTTTCTTATGAGGTGCTGACCGAGTGTTGTTACTTTGAAGCCAATCCAAAATCCAAGATGGCCGCCAGCGGGGGACTTAGTTTAACATGGGACCCTATGGGAAATACATACAAAGGTCTTCTTTTAGAGAACCACTGAATGGAATGAAACCAAACATGGTATGAATGTTCCTTATGAGGTGCTGACCGAGTGTTGTTACTTTGAAGCCAATCCATAATCCAAGATGGCTGCCAGCGGGGGACTTAGTTTAACATGGGACCCTATGGGAAATACATACAAATGTCTTCTTTTAGAGAACCACTGAATGGAATGAAACTAAACATGGTATGAATGTTCCTTATGAGGTGCTGACCGAGTGTTGTTACTTTGAAGCCGATCCATAATCCAAGATGGCCTCCAGCGGGGGACTTAGTTTAACATGGGACCCTATGGGAAATACATACAAAGGTCTTCTTTTAGAGAACCACTGAATGGAAAGAAACCAAACATGGCATGAATGTTCCTTATGAGGTGCTGACCGAGTGTTGTTACTTTGAAGCCGATCCATAATCCAAGATGGCCGCCAGTGGGAGACTTAGTTTAACATGGGACCCTATGGGAAATACATACAAATGTCTTCTTTTAGAGAACCACTGAATTGAATGAAACCAAACATGGCATGAATGTTCCTTATGAGGTGCTGACCGAGTGTTGTTACTTTGAAGCCGATCCATAATCCAAGATGGCCGCCAGCGGGGGACTAAGTTTTACATGGGACCCTATTGGAAATACATACAAAGGTCTTCTCTTAGAGAACCACTGAATGGAATGAAACCAAACATGGCATGAATGTTTCTTATGAGGTGCTGACCGAGTGTTGTTACTTTGAAATCAATCCATAATCCAAGATGGCCGCCAGCGGGGGACTTAGTTTAACATAGGACCCTATGGGAAATACATACAAACGTCTTCTTTTAGAGAACCACTGAATGGAATGAAACCAAACATGGCATGAATGTTCCTTATGAGGTGCTGACCAAGTGTTGTTACTTTGAAGCTGATCCATTATCCAAGATGGCAGCCAGCGGGGGACTTAGTTTAACATAGGACCCTATGGGAAATACATACAAATGTCTTCTTTTAGAGAACCACTGAATGCAATGAAACCAAACATGGCATGAATGTTCCTTATGAGGTGCTGACTAAGTGTTGTTACTATGAAGCCGATCCATAATCTAAGATGGCCGTCAGCGGAGGACTTAGTTTAACATAGGACCCTATGAGAAATACGTACAAATGTTTTCTTTTAGAGAACCATTGAATGGAATGAAACCAAACATGGCATGCATGTTTCTTTTGAGGTGCTGACCAAGTGTTGTTACTTTGAAGCTGATCCTTCATCCATGATGGCCACCAATGGGGGGACTTCCTTTAACATAAGACCCTATGGGAAATACATACAAATGCTTCTTCTAGAGGTGCACTGAATGGAATGAAACCAAAACATGGCATAAATGTTTCTTATGAGGTGCTGATTAAGTGTTGCTACTTTGTTGCCGATTTACTGTTCAAGATGGCCACCAGGATTTTTTTTATTAAATTACAGGACCAATATTAAACCAAATTTGGCCTCACTCATTATTAGGGTATCTGTTATGATTTTAATCTATTTTTACATGATTTCCAAAACCAAAGTAGAATCAGGTGAGCGACACAGGCTCTTGAGAGCCTCTAGTTCTAGTTTCAGGAC